ATCCTGAACGATGTCGAGCGCTGTTTGCATCTTGCTCGACATTGTGGCCGGGTGATTGCCGGTGACCGCTATGCAGATGTGTGGGAGTAGGAGCGTCTGTTGTATGTGTGTGTGCGTGTGCGGCGTGAAGAAGCTTCAAGGGTACGTTGCCTGGTAGCATAAACAGGGGCAAGTTCGTGGCGTTTTGAGTCGTAGCCACGGGTGAGCGTTCCCTGGAGGCGCAAACTGAGACAAACTGGTTGCCTGGCGAGATGTTGTCACGGGAGTATCGCCTAGCAGCCAAAACAARGGGGCTTTAATATATAAATGGGGAACAAGAGAACAAGAGAGAGATTTAGAGAGAACTATACGTGCGTACGAAGGTGTGATCGAGTGCGATAAAAAGGCGATTAATAAATTAACGATTTGCGAGATAATTTGAGCGAGAGTGTTTCCGGAGAAGTAGTTTAGTGYGTTCMTTTACTTTTGGTGTGTTTATTCTTGTTAACGTTTGTTTTTGTGTTCATTAAAGAGTTTTTCCTTAATCTTCTGTGTGGTACCGGTTTTCTCGGGGAATTCGGATATCCTTAGCTGGATACATAATAAGTGTTTTCCCTACAAATTAGGGGCTCAGCCGGGATATTAATATCAAAGTCCGGTACTGCGGTGTGAGATTAGAAAAGGTGTTTAAGTAGTGATGGACTGTGAAAGAAAGTTTGAAAATTGAATACCAATTTGTATAGTGATTTGACAGTGACGCAGCTTAAGGAGCGGCTACGGGAGTTAAACCAACCCTCTACTGGAACGAAAGCTGAATTATTATCGAGGCTGATGAATTTTGAGTTAAGCGGTGTGCAAGCGGCAAGAAATTCCGGAGAGGAGTTTCGAGATGAAGCATGCGCGGAGGTCACAGGAAGAGACCAATATTATGGAGCTGTTCCTCGTGATGTAAACACGAACGTTGAGGAGCGAGACAATTCGCTTCACCTTGAGATAAGACAGTTGCAGCGATGGATGGAGGAGATCTCCCAGCAATTGGCATCTGCTCCAGCCGAAGGGAGAATTTTGGGAAGACATAATTCTTGCTCGATGTTTCACGAAGAGGAGAGCCGATCGTGGATAAGCTTGATGGCAATTGCGGAGATGTTGAATTATTACGACGGCGAGTCACCTTATGACCACTGGGAACGGCAGTTTCTTGCCTTGAAAAGGATACATCGTCTATCGGACGGAGAAGCGACGGTGCTATTTAGATTGAGATTAAAAGGGAAAGCGGC